CAGTGGTCTAAAGCACCTACTTAGAACAAGCTTAGCAAAAGCATCAGGGACCGCGGTTCGATCCCCCGGCGCCACATGCCAGCCAGCCCGCCCCCTGGTGGGCTGAGCTGGCCTCTCTCTCTCTCTCTCTCTCTCTCTCTCTCTCTGTCTCTCTCTCAAATAAATAAATAAATAAAATTTAAAAAAAAAAAAAACCTTAGGGTAATACACATGTTGGAATTACCAAAGACTTAAAGTAGCCTTTAAAACTATGTCCCCTGTGGTAAAGATAAGCACATTAGCAATGAAAGAAAAAAATACTCTTGGGCCAGCCAGATAGTTCAGCAGATTAAAGTGCTTGCTTAGGCAGATGCGCCCGGCATGCCATGCCACGCCTCACGCCCCTCCCCACCGCGAGTACACTGAGATGGTGATTGAGACTGGCCATGGTGGCATGCGCTTGTAATCCCAGCTCTTGGGAGGCAGAAAGCAGGAGGATCACTAGGAGTCTGATCTGTGTAGTGAGACCCTGTAGACCCTGTACTACATACATAAAAAGAAAAAGAAAAAATACTCTTGACAGCAGAAATTTTTTTTTTTTTTTTTTTTCGGAACCGGGGATTGACAGCAGAAAATTAGAAACTATGGAAAAGTAATAAGCCAGGCCTAGTGGCATATGTCTGTAGTCCAAGAACTTTGGGAAGATGATACAGGAGGACTGCAAGTTTAAACCCAGCTTGGGCAATTTACCAACTTAGGGAGACCCTATCTCCAAAAGGGCTTGGGACTGTTGTGATGTAGCTCAAGGCAAAGGCCCTAGGGTCAGTGCTCAGTACTTAAAAAATAAATAAATAAATAAAAAGGGCCAGCCAGATAGCCCAGTGGATTAAAGCACCTGCTTAGGCAGATGGAGGGACCAGGGTTCGATTCCCCAGCATGCTATGCCAGCCCTGCCCCCTGGGGCACGCTGAGACTGGGATTGAGACGGGCATGGGTGGTGTGCACCTGTAATCCCAGCATATGGGAGACTGAAAACAAGAGAATCACTACAAGAGAATCACTACTTTATCCACCATACTAAATACAAAAAATAAAAAATAAAAAGTTTTGCCAACTAAAAAATATAACATCTGAAATAAAAATTTCCATGGATAGGCTCAATGGCAGAATAAAATGAATAAGGAAAGAATCCATGAACTTGATAAATGTTAAATAGACATTGTTCACTCCAAAAAAGAGCATGAAAAAAGTCTGAAAGAATAATATGAACAGAGGCTTAAGGAAGCATAAGATACTATGATGGAGTCTACAGCCTAATGAGACATATGCACTGAACAGTCACCCTGACAAATACGCAATTTCAAATTGAGTTAATTGTTTTGAAGAAAATGGGCAAGGTCCTACAAGCATAGGTAACAACAAATGGTCCTGATTTAGCCTTGGAAGGAAAGGTGTTACAATGATTTCTCTGAAGACATGATCTTTGATTCACAGAATAAAAAAAGTTAAACCAAATCAAGGGGTATTGTGGATAAGAGTATTTCAATTAAAGGACAAAGCATTAAAGACCTTTCAGGTAGAACATGTAAATTTTCAGAAGCTATAGGGACATAAGAGTGACTCATAATTTTTTTAAAAATAGGGAAAGTCAAGAATTTTAAGGTAGAAAGGGATCCAGGAACCATATTGTGCAGAATCCTGTAGAGATATTAAATATCTTTTTTGTTATCCTAAATCCAGTGGCAAATATTAGGAAACCTGACTTATGAGTGCATGGAAAATGGAAGGACTTGAGGATTCTCAGCTTTTAATAGTTGACTACAGAACGATGACCCTACAAAAGTAACACAAACATGGCTATTCATGGTGGTGCACACCTGTAATACCTGCACTCGGGGGGCTGAGGCAAGAGGATCTCCTCAAGTTCGAGGCCACTCTGGGCTACAAAGTGAGTTCAAGGCCTAAACTGCAGAGTGAAACTCTTCTCAAAAGAGACCTAACAAACAAACAAAAGAAGTACATGAAAAGAACAAAGATGGGAAATGACAGAGTGGTTTAACAAGAGCCAAAGGAAGAATGTTGTGTTATGCCATACTTCATGTAGAATTTATTTTTTGTTCTGATCATTCAGCAGATGCAAATTAAAACAACACTGAGATTCCATCTCACCCCAGAAAAAAAAATGGCTGTAATCAAGAAATCAACTAATAAATAATAAATACTGGTGGGGCTTAGGGGAAAAGAAACCCTTCTCCACTGTTGGTGGAAGTGTAGACTGCAACCACTGTGGAAATCAGTGTGGACATTTCTCAAAAAACTAGGGCTAGAGGTTCCTTTTGACCTAGTCCTTCCGCTCCTGGGTATCATCCCAAAAGAATTAAAAGTATAATATGGTAATTGACAAGTAAAGGAAAAGAAGATGTAGTGTTCAGAAAGATAGATGTTTGACCCAGGGTTTATCCATAACAGATTTTCAGATGATGTAAGTGTTCAGCATGGCTTCTCTTTTATTGAAAAGGAAGTAAAGAACTAGGAAACATCTTTCTTTTTTGTCTTCTCAAGTACCCATAATGCAAATAGTTATTTGTGTTTACTTGTTTAGATTTTTTATTTTCCTTTTGGTTGTTTTGCTTGTTCTGCTGGTTGGTTGATTGGTTAGTGGTTGTTGTTTTATTGTGCTTTGATCTGTATCGGTTATTTCAAACGCCCTGTCAAGGTCAGACATTCTTAGGGCTGGAAAGATAGCTCAGTAGAATAAGCACTTGCCTGGCAAGTGCAAGGGCCTGAGTTCAATCAAAAAAAAAAAAAA